AGAGATATACACACACGGGGGGCATATTCCTATTAAGATATCATCTTCAAGAGTGGACATCAATGATTTTAACTCTATGAGACAAAAATCAAAACTTCTCAAAAGCTTCATTTCTTTTGGATTCTAGATGTTCCAATTTTGGTTCAACAATGTCTAGGAACCCACAACAAAAAATACATCTATAAAATTGACAAAAGGCTTCGAGACACTCTGTGCAGTTTCACCTTCACTTGTTATTCCCTATGTTTGGCTCACTTGTTTGAACATGTTGTGAGCCAAGTACCAAGAAAAATTAATCACACAAGAAAAATGTTTCTTGACCATTGCTGGAAGATAATAGTTTTTTTTAATGAGGCAACAATTCTTGAAAATTTCAAAACTCTAAAAGCTATTTATAGAGTTTAAAAAATATGAGAAAATATAATACTCAAGATCTAATAAAGTACAAAAATTTATCTCCATCATACATTGATGGTAATGCTTTAGGATCACTAATGTTGAGATGTTTTGAGTACCAACAACAAAAACTCTTTGGCAATACATCTCTCAAAATCTCTCGAGAGTTCATCAACAAGTTTCTTCTCAGGAGCAAAAAGTCCTCTCAGGTAAATCTAACCATTATGACTCATCTCAAAAGAATCTTCAACATAAACTATGATGAGATCACATAAATAAATACTTTGCAACAAATTGAAGGAAGGCATTGTACAACATCCAATTTAAAGGGTTATGTGTTAGTCCAACTTACACATCACCCACAACAACGGACATCAATCCTGATATTAGGATATTAGGCCTACTCCAACTTTAATTGAATCTTCAATTCATCTTCGAGAATAGGCATTACTATAGATATGGTAGTCATGACACCTAGAGGATGGACATCATCTCACATTTGATATTGAAGGATATCAACATAAAATACAAACACCATAGTATCTTTCTCAAGACAATTCAATTTACAATAGATATATACATTATACCAATTTTCCTCTTATATAATGAATATTTTCTCTCAACTCAATTCAAAAGTCATAAGATGGAACAATTTTAGCCCTTTATGTCTATTTTTTATTGTTATTATGATTTCTTAGCCCCCTCTTAGAACACGCCAAATGTAATTATTTCCCAATTCTCATATGTGAACTCGTATTATTTGTCTTAGATATGTAAGTTTTGATTCAATTGGCTACATATATTGATAGAATTTGGTGTAATGCAATACCCATGGTTGTAACTCATGCAATTTTGGATAAACAATCGCTATAATAATTTAGCTATGATTCATTTTGGGAGGTATTTTAAAGCTTACAAAGCCTAAGGATAAAGCTTGATCTACATAAGAATCTAACGCTCCCAATGATATAGAAAAATCTTAATAGATCATGAAAACATGCAATTGATATAGAAAGTAGATAGAAAGATTTAATCTATCTTAGTAGATGTTTAGTTGAATAATATAATACCTGAAGTTATGGATTTTTCTTATGATGTTAAAGGAGTGTAGGTGGATTTTAAAAACATCTATCCTAACAAGTTTTCTAATAAATTACCACTACTTAATGATATACAACTTACTATTGATTTAGTTACTAAATCAACTCTACATTACATGTCTTGTTATAGAATGAATACATTATGTTGAACTTAAGAGACAAGTTGATGATTACTTAAGAAGGAATTTATTAAGGAAAACACAAGGCCTTGAGCGGTGTGTGCTTTGCTTTCACCTAAGAAAGATAAGAGTTAGTGCATGGGCGAAGATAATAGAACCATAAACAAAATTATCATTGAAGGCTTGTTTGGTTGAAGGTATGATGAGTGTAAGAAAAGGAAACGCTACAACTTGTAACTTTTTTGGTGCTTAGTTTGAAATAAATCAAAGACTAAGCACAAATGTAGTAAGTTCGGAAAACCCTAGAATGCCTTTTTGTTTAGGAATTTGGAATTTTCCCCAATCAAGCGAATTTCAAATATATAGAAAACTCAAAGCTCATGACCACACCATAACCATTGAGAATTGCTGCTTGTTGTCGCCACCCACAACCACCTGCCACTACTATGGCCAACCACCCACATCCTTCACATTTTAGTGCATTTAAAATGTATCATAACAAACACAAAATATGTATATCCAACAAAAAAAAAACTAAGGTATTTTAAATTGCATGCATCCCAATTACTGTGCATTTCTAAAATACGTGCAGTTCAAAAATAACCAGCTAAGCAAGCCCTAAATATACATTTTATATTTCGTTTGAATGATATACGAAATACGATATATAATGAATAGTATTGTTATGCTTATAAAATTGGTTTAAGAAGTGATTGTCATCATGTTAAAATGAGGAAAGATGATGAGTGGAAGATTGCTTTTAAAACCAAAGATGTAATAAATGAATGATTGACTATATTTTTTGGATTAACCAATTCATCTAGGACTTTCATGAGGATAACAAACTATAATTTGCAATATTTTACTAAGAAAACTCTTATTGTCTATTTTAATGATATCTTAATTTATGGAAAGATAAAAAAATAATCATTTGGAGCATTTTAGAAAAGTATTTAAGGTTTACAAAATGAAAAATTTAATCAAAAGCTAAAGAATATTGCTTTATGAATTTGTAAGTTTCCTATGTTTTGTTGTGTCACGAGATTAATTATTAGTTGATTTTGATAAGGTCTAAGAGATTAATGATTGATTCAAACCCGCTACCATACATGATATTCAAAGTTCCATGATTTTACTACTCAATATCACTAGTTTTAACGACCCAATATCACTATAGTATTATCATCTACATCCTCAATATTCTGTATAAGGTCCAAAATGCTTGAACTCATCACACCTATGCATCACTTGATCACCCAAGAATAGTGACAATAATTATCTACTTCACAAACTAAGCAACACATGCTCAATCTTTGCACAACCAATACTAAGTACCTGATATTCTACAAAACTCAGCCATCGTCCTAGCTTTTCTTTTATCGTGCTAATAGTCAAATTTAATAGAACTATGCCATCTACCAATAATATACACCAAGGCAGCTCAATTTGAATATTGTTTATCTCCATAACTAGTATTAAAACTATGGACTTAATATTGATCATTGATGTAATCCAAATATGATTAGAAGTCCTTTAGTTACTGATTAACTACTATTATTGCTATTAGTGTGCTATAAATGACTTCAAAAAATTTAACATACCTTTACACCTTATTTTTCTTGATATATGCTAAATCAATTATTATCATACTCAATCATGTACATTATCATAATCAATAAAACATATGAAAGTCATTTATTTGTTCTCTATACTTTTTAGTTGCCTTAGCATAAAAAAAATTGCCTCTATCGTGGAGTTTACTAGCAATCTTGCATAAAACTAAAATAGTGCTACGATACCAATAATTTTTTTCTAAGTCTACATTTTATTAACACTCTCATAAAATCATTATATAACTTATAAACATGATTCTTTAATAACCAGCATAATTTTAAATGTCACTTTGCTATTAAATATTAGTATCAAAATTTGTTTCATCAATCATTTGAAACCTCTTATTATTTAAGGTTCTATCTAAAAGATTTGATAATCAAACTATTCAATATCTTTAAAACTATACAAATCTCAATAGTGTATTCCATCTTTCCACGATGCTTCATATTTAGCTTCAGTTCTATATCTTCAATTTCAATACATATAAATTAAAGTAGTAGATTTCCTATCTCTTATTTGGCAACTTCATAAATATATTTTCTCCTTACATAATACATATCTATTATTTAAATCATCATAAAGGGTAGCTTTGTAACTTTGTTCTCATCTTCTATGCATGACTTCTAGCTCCCTCTAATAAATTTTGTAGCCTATGTAGTATTTAATTTTTACTCTTCCATCCAGGCATATTTCTGAACTTAATAACCTTTTGTAACTCACTCAACCACCAAGTTTCCTTAGGTAGTATCTACTTTTAAACTCTCCTGAAAGTTTTATAATTACTTTTTTAATGCAACTAGCCCTCTTATCCCATATCAAGTATAGTGCAAGTGTGCAACTGTAGAATTTTAATTTGACTCTCTTTATAAATTAGATTACTAACTTCCCTCCTACCAAAAATCAACAAAATAATGAATGTCTTCTTCTCCAAGATAGAACACCTTAAATCAGTAAGGGGGTCTTCCTAAAGACTTGCTCACTTCCTGGTTCTTGCAATACACTCTCTAGAGTCTAGAGTTGATTTTAAGCTTATAATTGTTTAAGCACTCTCTCGAATATCTGCTGAGAAACAGAAGTGTATGAGCCCCAAAGGAATTCCCACCCCATATCGAATCGCTTATGACTCACGTACCTAACTTTAAAAATCACAGGCTTCTCCGAGCTAATAGTGTGCAATCTGTTATCTAAAGTGACAGACATCTTTTCATTAACTCTCTGGACAAGTGTGGTTTATTAAACAAGTAACACAACAACTGCATGATAAGAGAATGATTTATGATTATCCAATACATATAGAGGTTGAATATACTTAAGAACCTGAATATTGTACAATTACCCGATAACATATGAAAGTTGCATATCCAAACAATTTTTTTATCATAATTTTCTAGATGATTGTAAAAGTGCTTCAATAAATCTTATGAAGAGATTAATACATTCAAGAAAATATAAGTGATGGACATTTAACATAATTCGTATTCAGATATAGGTTGAAGAATACAACATCTACAAGTCCCTTTCATGTGTCATTCGTAGTGACTCCTTGTTCATAAATATAGAAAAAGTGCTTGTTGAAAAAGCATTATAGAAATGAACCAAAAAATGGTATCTCCTGTAGGAACTGGATTTAAGTAGATTAAGCTTCAACAGATGGTTTTGATATAATTCATCCGAGTCTTGGGCATTCAAATAATATTTTGTAATTACATGGTTCAGGCACATGAGAGAAGAAATGGAGCATAATGAAAATGAATGTCTAACATATGATGACTACTCCTGAATTGTTTCTCATTGTTTCTAAAATTTATGGTACATTAAGTGTACAATTACCATTGCAAGCATGCTACATTCTAGAACTGCAAAAGCTAAATCAATAAAATATCATGTCTTTTTTAGCATATCCATTCAATAAGAACTGGAAACTAAGTACTCGGATGATACATATAATACATATATTCAAGCCCATAATTTGTTCAGAAATAATTTGTTTCTCCAGAGATCCAGTGGGATAAGCAGATCACAATTCTAGATAAGGTAGCAATCCAAACTTAAACCCTATATAATCAATGTCATAAAAAAACAAGTTCAAGCATCATCACCCTCTAAAGTCTTAGGTGCAAAAGGATCATGAGTAGGACCCATATCCTGCCCAATATGCCGCTGCACCAACCTTTGCAGGTCAGCCATGACCTTGTGTTCGCGCTTGGCCTTCTCCTCATAATTGAACATGGCTAATGCCCTTTTATCCTCAGCACTGTATACTTGGTTTTCTTTCCTTATACGAATAGCATTCATCCTCTGGTGCCTGCTTCCACTCATCACATAGCCTAAGTCCTCAAATTTCTGAATCTCCTCAGCAGAAAGACCGACCTCTCCTCTCCTTGGAATACGCTTGCCTTGCTGTACATATTGGGCTATGGCATCTCCTTCTCCTGGCCTCAGAGCCCCACCATAGCTTATGTGGCCTTCTGCACGTGGAAGAGGCATAGGACCTACAGGAAGCTCACCATCCAAAGCCTGTTTCTTCTGCAATTCAATCATCTCCATGAATTTCACGGCTTCAGGATCAATCTCAGGTTTATTAGCGTCAGCAGCTCCGACATCAGGCTCTGATTCAGACAAGTTAACCGATTTAGGCTGCTTACTTTTTTTCTTCTTTGAGGTCCTCCTCTTCCTGGCTCTAGGACTGGACACAGAATCAGAATTATCACTGTAATCCGAAGCCACTTTCCTGCTTCTCTTCTTCCTACTACTTCTAGACGACCTCTTCCTCTTGGCTCTAGAACGCACGCTTTCCTTCCTGTTCCCTCTTCGCTTTCCTGAACTGCTCTTCCTCCTCCTCGATTGATCAACTGAATCGCTCAAGGAATCAGAATAACTCCCTGAATCATAATCAGAAGAAGCATCGCTATCAGTTTCGCTCGCACTCTCGCTTGAATTTGAGTACCTTCGTCTCCGAGAGGCCCTTCCTCTTCTACTTCTGCTTTTGGAGCGAGGACTCTCAGATCTAGAATCAGAATCGTCGGAAGAACCGCTGCTGTCATCTGAACCCTCAGATTCGGACTCCTTTTTCTTCATGTTATCATCCTCTAATGGGGGATCGGCACTCCGTTCGGGTTCTTCCTGCGGTGGCTCCGACAGCTCCCTATCACTACCTGGAGGGCTAGGCGTGACCCTCCATATACAGTTCTTAAGTTTCTTCCTGAGACGCTGGCGTTTGATCCGACGATACTCGAAGTAGCTCAAGCCTTTGAGGTCCTCATCCTCGGATGAATTTTCGCCCTCAGACCTAAGTGAGGTCGGGCGGTCATGATACGGCGACCATCTCCGGCGGCCACCGTCATGGCGAAGGTGAACGGGAGCAGGGCTGCGTGCTCGGCGAGGCGGACTCTCGGAAATCGGGCTCAGGCGGGAGCGTCGATAGTCATCGACGTGGCATTCACGGGAGGGAGAAACCCTAGAGTGTTCTCGCCCCATCGCGCCAGAGACCGAATTTGTTTAGAACTTAGAACCTCGTCTCCGCCATTACTCTATATTCCTCACCGAACAAAAAATAAAAACTGTAGATTAAAAAAAAAAAAGGGAAATTTACATACATATCAGTATATACTTAGTATTTTACATATCTAACATCTCATTTTGAAATATTACAGTTATACCACTCAAATCCCTATTTCACCTCTATTCTACCACTCCATCTATCGCGGTTCTTCACGACGCTTGTTCGCACGGTAACGACGACGTTTTCAGTTTTTCGTTTTTAGGGCATCATCGAGTCGGACGTCTTCACAATCCAAGGTAAAAATCACTTTGCAAAGTTTGTTCCGACTTTCTCTTCATGCCATGGAGGTCGGCATTGAGGTCGGCATTGAGCTTCTGTGATGTGCTTGCAGAAATTTTTTTTTTTTCAAGCCGACTTTGTTCTTCTTACTTTGTTCCGATTATGCTGTGATCGTTTATGCAGTTATAATGAGTTCATGGATAAACTGAAGTGCAATGGAGTTCATGAATTTTTTTTTTTTTATAACCGAACTGATGACGACTGCAGATACTTCAGATGGATAGATGAAGTTGAAGATGCATCTTTTGGTCTAGACGATGAGCGCAAAGTGTTTGAGGCGAAGGTTATTAATATGCTTGAGTGGATGATGTTCTTGATGAAAGTCTTCGTTGTAATTGTTGCTGTTGATGTAACCATCCGTTTGTGTTTGTAACATGTTGTGTCAACTGCATAAAAGGTTGCTTTTGTTATGCTTAGTTTTGCAACCTTTTATTGTTGTGTTGGTGTAGTATATTGTAAGTATTTATGTTGAATTATTGATTAAATTTAGGCATTATTCTCTCATGTTTGTAATTACTAATTGTTCAGCTCAAAAAAACGTGCAGCAAGGAAGTGTATTAATAACCTACAATTTGTGTGCTAATTTGAGTTCAAACAACCTGCAGCAACTGTATATGTATTAATAATTCCAAAGTGAAACTGCAGCAACTGTTTGTAATGTGAGGGATAGTTCGAAAATGCAGCTCAGAGTGAAAATTGCAGCTCAAAAAAACTGCAGCAAACGTCCAAAAACTGCAGAAATGTTTAGAGTTCAAACAACCTGCAGCAAACGATAAATCGAGAAAACCTGCTCGGAAATGCATGGAAGTGAAAAATCCTGATCGAAAAAACCTTTTTAAGCAAAAAACCTGCAGCAAACGTGCAGATTTCATATTTATTTGAATCAAGAAAATGGCAAAGTATTCACAGCAAACTATTATTTACCAACAAAAAACCTGCACCTAACGTGCTAGCCTTAATAAGCAAAAAACCTGCAGATTTCATATTTTCTTTGAATCAAGAAAATGGCAAAGTCTTCACAGAAAACTACTATTTACCACCAAAAAACCTGCGCCTAACGTGCCAGCCCAAAAAACAAAATGATAACAAAGTTACAGCTGCTTTGTAGTAGCTCAAAAAATGTCATAACAGTCAATGCTATCAATCCTAAAATCCAGTCACATATGAGAACTCGAAATCTTCAAGTTGATGATCCTCTCCATTCCGTCTGCTTGGCAACTTTGATGAGGTCCACGGCAGGTTTAGTTCTAGCATCAGTAACCCATGAGTTAAATGACTCGGCAAAATTGTTGGTATTTGCATAATGACATATCCCAATCATAAACTGACTCCTTGACCACTTATATGGCAATGAAATAAGATACGAGTAAACTGCATGGCTCAAATGACGTAGTTCTACTAGCTTCTCATTGAACTCTATATTTGTGTAAGCATTAGCCGCCTCCCAGACAAGTCCATGCACTTTTTGGCCATCTTTACAGTGGAAATTTTTTTTAATGTTCTTCCACAAATGACGAATACAAATTCTATGTTCAGCTTTAGGATATACATCTTTTATAGCCTCTCCCAAACCCTTCTCCATATCTGAAATAAAACAAAGAGGATATAAAGAAAGACCAATTGTTTCTCCCAAATTTTGGAGAAACCAAGACCATGTTCCTTTGGACTCAGTCTCCATCACAGCAAATGCTAAAGTGAATAAGCCATTATTCCCATCTAAGGCGTTAGCCGATAACAGCACACCTAGGTACTTCGACTTAAGATGACATGCATCCAAACTGATAAGTGGTCTACACTCAGCTAGAAAACCGTCAGCACATACCTTAAAACTGACATAAAACCTTTGGAATGAATGATCTCCACTATTATATGCATATGTTATATGTGATCCTGGATTTCTATGAAGGAGTTCTGCTGCCAATGTTGGAACCCATTTGTAGTTGTCATCAACTGAACCAAATAAAGCATCACGGGCTTGCTCTCTTGCCCTCCAAAGCTTCATATAAGGTAAGGATAACCCAAATTCTTTTTCTAGATTACTATTTATATCTTTTGGTGGGATATCTGGACACCTCTTTACCATCTCCTGTATCTCGTTGGCAACCCAAGCAGATGTTGCCAGCCTATTCCCAGCTCGATTTATTCCTGGACATGTGTGTACTCCATCAAGTCTCCTAACTTGGAAAGATTGAGTGTCTTCACATAAAGAGGCTCGAATTCTCCATTTACAACCTTGATAGGAACAAGTCGCAATCACACGTTTCTTATCGCTGGCTTTTATCTGAACCCCAAAGTTCTCCTTTATGGCAACTGATCGGAGAGCATTTGAGATACCTTTCATACAACTTTTGAGTTGTAGAAAGAAGAAGAGAAGATGCAACTTTGGTTGCAAGCTTTTAAAACTCTTTGAACATTTGGTGTTCAAAGAGAGGAATTCATTCTCCCAACTTGGGTTTGAGAGCATGAAGATGGATTCAAATACTCTCCTACAATCTTGACTTGTAGGAAAGAGGGAGGGAAATGCAACTTAGAGGTTGCAAATCAATGAAAGTTCTTTGAACATTTGTTGTCCAAAGAAGGAAATGCACTCTCCTAACTTGGGCTTAGGAGAATGAGGGATTTCCTTCAAC